AAGCCTTCCTGCAATCCTCCCCAAACCCAAGAGAGCCACCTTAAGAGCTCTCCCTCCATAGGACCAAACGGGATCCGCCAGGCGTTTCATATACCATATTCTATAGCCAAGGAGACCTTAACAAAGAGCCGTACGCTCTCACGTTTCGCTTCAGGCTTCTCCCTGCTGCAGCTGGAGCTGAGTTTTTTAAAATCTTTGTGTCATTATTTCTTTCCTCTTTTGATTCAGCCATCGAGGGACAAGGAGATGCCAAATGAAAAGAATGGGCATTTAAACAGAACTAGATTGAAGAGGCAGTGTGTGTGCTGAACAACAAGTCTTTTTACATTTCATATGATCTTATACATGGGCTCCATTCAGTATATTTCCCCTCTGTTTCATTTGAATGTACAGAATTAGCCATTCACATCCTCTGGAATTACGGCTCTTTAACATTTCCATTCTGAGCTGCCTCCATATTTTGGGGGTTGGGACTGTTATTAGCTCAGCTGGGGAAGCTCAGGCTGAGGTCAGAGTCAGTCTTGCAGGCTGGAAATGAGCTTTTTCTTTTTTTGGAAAGTTCAAGATTTGATGCTTGATGCCTCTGGTCAGAAAAATATATGAGCATACACAAATATGTATATGTGCTGGAGCATGCATGGATCTGGTTTCGGTGGAGGGGGGTCTTTTTCATATTAATCCCAGTGAAGTTATTTCTTTAGATAGAAAAGCAAGCCTCAGTTTTTGGATGTGTGATGTGCTTTGTGATTGCCTGAAGTCGTACGCGTGGCCGTGTCCTTGTGCGTGGCTGCTGCCTCATTGTCTTTTTAAAAGACAAATATCGAAAACAAATATTTACTGTGCTATTTACTAAAGCTCCCTGGATACTGGTACAAATTTAGAAGAGTTGGCCCAGAAAACTCAGTTGAATTGAGCTTAGAGTCACAAGAGAAAAACCATGAGGGATGTGTGCGTGCAGTCAGTCCCGCTGAAAAGCTCAGAAGCTGGCACCACTGCCTCGAGCAAAGATGGGACTGTGCAGTGGCATTGGTGTATCCTGCAGCTGCACTGCCTTCCCTTAGAGTGCTGCAGCATACCTGTTCTGTTACTTCTTGCATATATCACCACAAGGAAGAAGGCTGGCTTTGGAATGTTTCTCTTGTGAATCTGGCTTTTTTCTAGCTTTACATGTCTGCTGGCACTCCTAAGTCAGTGTCCTCTTTGGGGGTGTCCCCCCTTTCCCCAGCATCTGCAAGCAGGAGGGTTTCTTGCCAGACAGCTGGGATGTGAATGTGCTAACAACCTGCAGAGACAAGAGACCAGGACCCACCATGTCTCTGCTGGCTGCTTTGCAATGCCTGAGTGCTGCAGAGAGGTGCTTCCCTTGGAGGACCCCCAGGGTGTGGACCAAGTGGTCCACAGGAACCGACATCCCAGAAAGAAGTCTCTACCTTCTCTGCCGCTCTTTCTTTGCTATATTTTTAACCTTTTCTATCTGTGTCTTCTGCATCAACATCTCCTCAGGCCACTTAATCTGATTGTTGTGGAAATGAGGACAAGGTGGCAAACAACAAACATGGGCCTCCAACAGGGCAAATAAACCCAGCAAGGTCGAGTGTGGCTCAGAAGGCAGCAAGGTTCCTATTTTCCCCCTTACCCTCAGGGTTTAGCTTGCCTTACAGAAAGGAGCTTGCCTTATAGAAAGCTTGCCTCAAGGGCAGGAGCACAGACCTGGGGGCTGGCACATCACGCTCTGCAGGTGATCGTGGCCAGCTGACTTTGCTTTATTACATAGCATCTGCTAGAGAGGGCTTACCTGAGTCAGGCACAAATCCCAAGTCCCCAGTCGACCACCCCTGAACCGGTCAGACAAAACCAGGCTGCAGTCTTTCCCGGAGATTCCTTCAGTCACAGCCCCCTGCCTTAATTTAACCTGGTTATTTATACCTTTTCCTGTGTGTGTTTAATTATAGTAAAACCTGGCAATACTGCTGTGCTTAACGGTCTGTTGGCATTTCCATTATGAGCCCAGACTGGAAGGGATTATATAGCCTGAGTGTTTGAACTGAGCCTCAGACAGAGACTTGGCATAGATTTGCAGCCCAAATACAAAGATTTTCAATTGGCTAATGGCAGTTTTGAAAAGGGAACATTTTTCACATGCTTAGGCCCTTCCGTTTGCTTAAGCTGCCTTCCTCTGTTTTAAACTCAGCAAGCAAGGAGTTGTAATTCAGCCTGTTACGGCAGTGACTCACGTTTGTTGCATAGTGATGCCATAACCAGCCAGGGCAAGGCCTTCTGCCTTAAGAGAAATTACGCACAGAAAGATGACTGGGGAAAGTCAGCTCTTTCACTGGAGTCACACCATCTGTACATCCAAACTGCAGCTGCCATGGCCAGCACGTGTTGTCTGACCACATCCCAGGCTCTGACCGAGATGTCCTGGGCTTCATGAGCAGCCAGAAGCACTTACAGAGCATCAGTTGTTTCATCCTCAAGTAGAAAAATGAACCAGGATAGCTTGATCAAGTCCTAAAGATGCTTTTTCTTCCCATCATCTATATGAGAAGCCTGGGGTAATTGGCTCAGGCAGCGGCATACACACCGGGTATAGTCTGGTGGGACCAGTCACACTTGCAGGGAGTCTAGAGTAGCTCCCATGATGGGATGTGGTCCATACATCTATCTCCACAAGATTTTTCTCTAACATCATGGAAGGCAGAGCAAGAGCAGGGGAAAAGGTATGTCTTTTTTTAATGCACGGGAGTCTTTTGCTCAGAAGAACCAAGTAATTTGCCCATGGTCTCACAGAAGGTCAAAGGGAAGCCTTCCCTGGGAGCAAACCTAGATCTGCACTGCACACTCATGCCTCTGCAGTGGGCCTTTCCCCATCTGAATGCATTGAGTAAGCAAGTTGATAAAACAAGCAAGAGAATATCATGTGCTGGGAAGAGTTGTAAGTTAAGTTGGCCAGGCACCAGCAAAGAAGACTAGCTAGTGAATTGAAGAGGAGCTTACAGCAACGACTCTGTGTTGCAAACAGCTTTTATCCCCAAAAAGTTTGCTTTTGACATCACTGGAAGATGCTCTGAGCCTGTGTCCCCTGGAGAACAGGTCTATCCATTGCTGTCTCCAATCTTTTGCCTTCTGGAGCCTGAATGGAAGGAGGTGAATACGAAAACTTATACTCAGCCGAAGGAGAAGCATCAAGCCCCAAAGCTGCTGCATTTGCAGCCTGGCCCTGGAGGAATGCTATGCAAGGTGCCCTGGCTGCTGCTCCCCTGGAGTTGGGGCCACACTTTGTTCCTCATCTCAGGGATACTGGAGCTGGGTGAGCTCACCCAGGCTGCACCGGGCAGCTGCACATACTGACCTGGGAAGGGCTGGTGGGCACTAGGCAGAGGAGACATCTCTGTTCCCACCAGGACTGTCACCATGGGAACTTTAGGGATGGAGGCCATTTACGGCTGGTTGTAAACCCTGACTCTGACAGCGAAGCCTTTCTTCGCCTTTTTCTCTGGACTTGGCCCTGGCTTCTTAGAGAAAGCAGGCTCACATTCTACCTCCGGCTGGCTCTGCACACACATCCCCTGGCACTGAGCGCTGGCCCGCTGCGTGGGAGCTGCTCAAGCTCAGGGAAGTGTCCTGGCTCTCTCTCCCACAGAAAGTGGAGCAGACGCCCGAGGTTGCTGAACACTGCAGGTCTGATATCTCTGCAGACACCTGCGGATGCAGGGGGAGAGAAATAGTGGGTTTGCTTTTCTTCTGTGGTGCCATTACCCCTTGGAGGAGCTCTCAGATCATTTGTGAAGCAAAGGATCTCTTCTAAGGTCTAGCTCCCTTCATCAGGCTCCCAGCTTTGAGGCTGGAAAGGCTCATCTTTTGCCTTGGCCAAAGCTGAAAATGCTGTGGACAGAGGAACAGCTGGCAGGAACCAGCCTGTGGAGGAGAAGTTGAGGGCAGAAGGACTTCAGCAGTCAGATCTCATCTGGTCCTTATTCCAATGCCAAATGCTTCTGTGAAGACACTTGTGCCGTACAGTTTCTGAGGTCCACCCCAGTTTGGATGCCTGCCTGGCCTTCCTCTAGAGAGAGAGGTTAAAACACAAAGCTGATCAAGAATTGCTCCTTCTCCAGCTGATCAACTCCTGTCAAGAAAAAAGTCACACATCACAACTTCTTGATGCTGCTCCGTCTCCTGGGAGCTGCAGTCCAGGTAGCTCATGACCCTCTTGTCCTGTTGCAGGGCCAACACCCTAGTTGGACCTCTGATCTCACCATGAGCCACAATGACCTGCTAACAAAATGTGGTGGCGTGACCATGGTGCTGAATGGGAGCCTCCATGGCTGGGGGGTAGTCTGGCAGGGCAGGGCAGAGCCTGGCAGGGCAGGACTTGGGGACCAGGAGGCAGCCCCGGTTCTTCAGGGTGAAGGCCTGGGAAAGGGAGAGTGTTTGGCCAGACTGCCTGGCTTTCAGGAGTTCAGGTTTGTGTTAAAAAGTAAAGAGTTAAAAGTTCTACTCCCTGCAGAATCCAGAACCTGGTGTTACAACAGGATAAAAGATTCAATACTTCAGTATTACAATTTGGACTCAATGATCCCTGTGGGTCCCTTTCAACTCAGGATTTTCTAATAGGAAGAGAAAGTTCCAAGAGGTATCCTCCAGCCACTCTGCAGAGGAAGCCTTTCAGTGGAGAGCTGCCCACTGATGCTCCCTTTCTCAATGGCCCTCGCATGCACAAACACTCTCCATCTCAGTTTTCCCCACACCTTGAGGTCCAACTCTGCCTGTCGTGCTTGCCAGGACCTGTGACCCCACCTGCATAGGAAGACATCTCCTGGCGAAGTGATGCACTTGGAATAACATGGACCACTGCTTTCTCCATTCTTCTTATGCTTCACGTGCCCTGAGTTCCGTGGCAGATGAGCCGCTGGCTGGTACCCTGGCTGGAAGATGGATGAGCCACCCCCATGCTCCTGACACAGCCTGAATGCAGACTTTCTGCTTTCACCTAGGTTTGAGACCAGGAAGAGGAGATGTATTTCCTGAGAAAAAGTGACAGGGTTTGTCCTGGTCTTCCTGTTGGATTCTGGGAGAAAAATCAAAAGACTTGGCTGCTTTGTGAGGGTAAGCATGTTTGGGTTTTATTTCCCTTTGTATATTGTTTTGGCATTTTTTTTATTTTTAAGACAGTGATAGGAAAATTTTCCTCCTTAAGAGAAAAAGAAAGCAAAAGCAGAGACTGATAGTGTTGACCGCTTGTCCATGGACAACAGTGGTCCCATGAAAGGCTAATGTCCACACGGAGACTGTTTGCAGTGGTGCCTAGAGCTAATGAAGTGTGACTTCGAAGGGGGCTCCCAATGCTAGTGCAAAACAAGGCTCACAAGTTTCAAATGTTTGCCTGGATAGTCTCCAGACCTTCTACCCTCCTTTGGGCTACAGCTGAGGTTGGAGACCTTGGAGCTGCAAAGACTTCAGTGCGGCTGCTTCCAAGCAAAACCAGAGCATCACAATGAAAATAAATAAACAAATGGTGCTATTCTGAGCTTCAGACACATTGGAGGGTTTCATCTGCACCACACCAAGCAGGATGAGTCCCTCTCTGTTTGGAACCAGTGTCTTGATTTACAGTTTATTACTTTTTGATGAATTCCCTCCTCTGTCTTCTGAGCGTGGAGCCTGCACACCATTAGGACACTCTCAGCTCACACTTAAAGGGCTCTGCTGATTTCCACTAGCATGGTGCAGGACTGATTCACCCCCTATCAGGATGAGCATTCACAGTATATTTCCATGACATGCAGCTACCTCTCGATGCCTCATGTTAAAGAAACCTCTTCGCAGACATGGTCTTGTCCTGACACCTCCAAAGTCACCTCTTAACACTCCCTGCTCACGTTTTGGCTGTCACCTCTGCCTGCAATGCCGGTCCAAGACCTCTTGGTTTAGCTGGGGCACTTGCCTCATTTATTGCTGGTAATACTCAGCAGCTGGTGGCCCCCCTCCTCCTGCCCAACTCCTCATTTCTTCTGGTTTCTAGGATGCTCCAGCTTTCTCCAGGGCTGCAGCCTTGCAGGATTTTCTGCATCATTGTGCTGCACTCTCAGCTGGTTGCAGTTCTTCATGCAGAGTCCTCATGGAGATTCACCTTTCTTTCCCCTCCTGGATCCAGTCCAGTCAAATTCTCATCCCAAATCCTCCCTCCTCTCAGCAGTTCCTGTGTTTATGTCTCTTGGTCTGGTCAGCCCCTTTCCCCACCTGCCTGTACATGCATTGCTCACTCTGCCTGAACCAGGATGGGAAGTGTGAGGGGGCGGGAGCTGCCTAATCTCAGGGATAGACTGGACTTGTGATTTGGATCCACAGCTTCGCTTATCTGGAAATCCTGCTCAGTCCCTGGCTGGAGCGCATCCTGAAAGGGGAAAAGTTTCAGGGAATTCAGGCGATAAGCACTATAAGACTGCCTTAAGGGAGCACATGTGAAATGGAATATTTCAAAGACTTGGCTAAGTTTGGCGGCAGCAAAGGGCACATCTGGACTAAACCAAAGGCCTTCCCTGCTTCTCCTTTTGCCAAACTTCAAGTCCACATGCCAAAGACATGCAGCTTCAAGAGCTCTTTAAAGCAAAGGTCATCAGATTTCTCTGTAACAAAAACAAGAGAAACCAAAGCATTTCCCCTTACAATGTTCTTGGAAGTAGATGAATCATTTTGGCTGAAAATATATATTTTATATTTACTTAGATACTTCAGCATTAGGCAGCTAACCAGCAAGATGAAGTTCAACCCAAACAGTTTTAGCATAGCTGAGTTAAAAACAGCTGAATAACGACACTTGGCATGGGAAGAGTGACCTCAGGCTCACAGTGCTGGGCAGGAGCAGACTTACCTGCAATGCCTTGTGCCTCTGCTTTCACAGAGCTGCTGGAGTGGAGGTCATGTTTGGTCAGGGTGAAGGAAACTAAAACTTCCAACCTTTTTTGCCTTTACTTTCTTTCTCCCTCAAGCCAAAATAGCAGTGCCCAATCTTTAACCTGCAAGTGGTACCCAGGCTCCAAACTTGGTTTGGAGATGGTGCTCAGGGTGGACAGGGTATGGTTGCTTATATACAGGAGAGTTGGTCAGCTTATACCAGTGCTTTTCAGCTACCTCAAGCTTACACCTCATGAGAGCTATGAATGGTGGCGTATGCTGCAACATACCCTGCATCAGCAGGAGGCTTTGTGGTCCTCACAGCAGGGCAAGAAGGAGAAGGGAGAGGGGAGCCAGGCATCACAGACCAGTGTGCTGGGAAGTGTGGCTGTGCAAGAGGAAATGGCAGAAAATGAGGGCTGCAGGGGCAGGCAGGACTGGACAAAGCTGTACCATTGCTCAGGGCTATACAGTATCCTCTCCCATTTGCCAGGGTCTGGGAGGAACTTGTATTGCACGGAGACCAGCACTGGGATGTATAGCTGGGCCATAGCAAATGGCATAGGGCTGCATTGCAGCAGTGCAGTTGTTGCAGAGGATGGAAGAAGCTTGAAGTCCCTGCTTAGCACCAGCCACTGCAACACCATGCACTGAGAGGTGGGTATGGATGTTGCATCAGTGCAGGATCTTTTTCCCTCCTTTCTCTCCCGCCCCACCGCCGTGCCCTGGCATGGGCCACTGCTGCCACAGACAAGGAAGCTGACCCTGCCACGGTGGTGCTGCTGTGGGTGTAGGCAGGGCTGGGAAGCAGTACTGCCCTTTGCAAAGGTGCTCCATGTCCTCAGAGGTGCTGGTTTTGCTCTACTGACAGTTTCCTGTGAGCGTTCTATTTCCTCTCTGGGAGACTAAATAGCCTCTAAGCAAGGAGAATCTGGCAGCCATCCCAGGCCCTGCTGTGCCGCTGGGGTGTTTAGGGAGGGGAGAGCATACCCTGAGAACAGGGGCTCATGGTGTAGCTGCAGTTTTCACAACAGCCTCCTTGCTCTCCACCTCTGCCATGAGAAGGGCTCTCCACATCTTGTTGGTACTCAGCTAGGAGCAAACTGTACTTTCCATTCTGCCTGTCTGCTGGGTCTGTGGCACCAAACAGTGTCTCCCATTTAAGTACTTGACACTGGTGATATGGACACTTTTGACAAAGGAAGAAGGAAGGAGGGACATGTCAGGACCTGGATAAGGAAATAAATATTTAGACTCAGACCCACAGAAGATAATGTGATGCTTTACATCTGTCACCAAGATGTGTTAAGCAGCCTCTGAGGTCAGGAGAGTTTGCCCATCCTGTGCTCAGGTGGCTTGTGGGTGCTCAGCATAGCTCCAGCATTGTGGTATCTCCTGCCAGCCTCAGTCATCTACTGATGTTCCTTGGTCTGAAGCTAATGGAGGCCAGGGATGTGAGTCACTAGCCTCTGCTGGACTTCTTCCATGTGCTCCATTTGGTAGTGCTTTGTGTGTGTGAGAGTGTGCTCCCCTCTCCCAGCTGTGCGTGTCTGCCTGCCAGCGCGCTGCTGATTGAATTTGCAGCTGTGCTGGTTTTCTCCTCTCTTCTAGCTTTGAGAGTCTCGTTCATGGGTTAGGAGGAAAGAAGGAGGAGGAGGGAAAATGAAAAATAAATTAATAAAGTAACACAGGGAGAGATGCCTAGTAGAAGTGGGTGTTTTCCCCCCAGGCAGCATAGTGTGTCATCCTCCCCACTGTGCCTTCACTATTGGCAAGGAGAAAATGCCGCCTCCCCTTCTACCTCCTAGAAGACGAATTGGGGTCCCCGTTGGAAGTCCCCCCACTTTGCTGGGGGACTGCTAGCTCCTTTGGGCACCACGTTCATTCCCAGGAAAAACCAAGCCACTATCTCATGGCTTTGCACCTTGTTCTGCTGGGGCTGCTTCCAAGCTCTCCACAAGGTGAGGGGTCACCCATCCTGCAGGAGGTAGATGGACTGGACCTTCCTCAATAGGCACCATCAGCTCTTCATCACATTGTACAGCCCATATAGTACAGAGGTGGTGAATACAGAGCTGGACAGCCCCTGCAGCGGGAGCTGGCTGGCAGCTGCAGAGCAGGACACACAGCCTCACGACCCTGCGGCTGACAGCCTTCTTCATTGCAGAAGCTGCACAAGAAGTCTCCAGCTGTGACACTTTGCAGGGGAACCATCAGACATCCCAGTGGGGAGAGCACCACATGTCAGAAGGAGTTTGGAGGTAAGTTCTGCTCTTTGCAAATGATCAGGGTGGGCCTTGGGGTGGATTGGGCCCAAGATCCTGATTCCTGTGGCATCCTACAGCATAATTGCCAGAGGGTCTTGTGGGTCAGGAGGTGAACCAAGAGACATTTCTGAGAGCTCGAGAGGCATCCTCCTCTCTCTAGTGGAGTGCTGGAGACTTGGGTATGTCAGTCTGAAGCTTTCCTCTGCATATCACAGAAAGGTTTGCCAAATGATCTGTACCCCAGTGTGCCCCACAAAAATCTGCAATGGGTGATGGCACCCATTGCATAGGGTCTTCCAAGGATGAGCAGGACTGTGGGAAAGGGGTCGACCAGCCAAAATGGTATGGGTTGTACTACACACTGTCTTGCTTCTCTGTTTTATGGTTGATGGATATGACAAAGACCCCACAGCCATCAAAATATTGTCCCCTATCCTGAGCCTTTCCTTTAGCAGACAGTTTCTGAAAGGGTTAATTTGGATTCCCTGTTGCTTGGCCCTGTTAATCCTGTCTTTTCGAAGGGAAGAGCAATGGCCTAAAGCTTGATTGTGCTTTAGCTGGCATGGATGCAGATCTGTTGACTCCAAGGGTTCCTCACCTGTGCAAATGAGATTAGGCAAGGCCCCAGGGACACGGGTCAAATCAGGACAGAGTAGTGGCTTCCCAGAGAGGGGCTGGGAGGGCCGTAGCTTCCTCAGCAGCTGTGAACCCGCAGATACGATGGGGAAGGCACTCAAAGGGTCTGGGCTGGTGTTTAAGCAGCCTGGAGCGGACCCAGGCTGACTTTACAGTTTACAGCTGAGGTGTTTCCTGCAGGCAGCAGAAGGTATTTTCCCAGCTTTTCTGGCGCTCCCCACTCACAGCTGGAGAAACGCTTTGGATTTGAGTTTCCCAATGAGATATCATGCCCATGTGCTCTGTGGCAGACAGGTGCTTGGGCATGAGAGAAGTGTGGCCACAGCAAAGACCTCCTTGCTTTTTCACTAAGGTGCCCAGGTCTGTGGGGGAAGGACATCTTGTGCTCTGGTCCCAAGGCTAAACCCTGCCCTCAACCTGACCTTGCTCATCTTATAGCCTATGGACTTTCCCTGGCTTGCCAAGCCCAGGTGTGATTGTGGCACACCTCTGATCAGGGACTTTGCCTCCTGATCCAAGTGCTTGAGGTAGCATGGTGCCATCCCTCAACCCAAGGCTCTCCCTGCCCTGGCAAGGCTGGCACAAGGAGTGACCCCTCCCTGGGTTTAGGGGCCGGCAAGGGTGGGTGGGCTTCAGTTGCTTGCAGCATGTCTATCAGTGCCGTGGGACAGGGTGAAGACCTCATGGCACCAGGCCAGAAACAAGTTTGTGGGTAAAGAAGGGGTATCTGCTGTGTTGGGGAGGGTGGAAGTGAGGAAGGAGTGGTTGGAGAGAGGGGACCCCTATCTTCTGAGGTGCTCAGCATCTCACAGGATAAGCCCTCAAAATTCCAGAGGGGCTTCAGTTTCCCTCAGATTCTGCATCCTCTGCCATTGTCCACAAGCAGCAATCTGGGCATGCCTCAGATAGGGATCTTGGGCAGGAGCATCCTTCCTCATCTCCTGCCCCACAGCACAGATGGCTGCCACCTGGGACGAAGGACAGGGGCAGCAGTGCCCAAAGGTGGCTGGGCTGGGCAGCAGGCCTAGGGAGGGCACAGCAGCAGGCAGCTGCCCCGGCAGGCTAGCAGCACCCTGGTGGGCGCAGAGGCCAGAGGGGCAGACACGGCAAGGGAGGCAGACATTGTAGCCTTCGTCCCACCCACCACACTGTTCGAAGGAAAGTAGAGGGTTGGGAAATTTGTCTTCACCTCCCCTGTCCCCCGTTCTGAGCGGTGAGAAAGCACACATGGTACCTCACGGGGAGGGGGTCACAGCTGGCACCCCAGCTCAAGCAGCAAGACAGGATGCTGGGTGAGGAGCCGGTCTCCCGCAGCCCCCGGCGCTGGGAGGGCGAACAGGAGCGGGACCTCCGGGCAGCCACTGCAGCTCTGCCCTCGGGCTGCCTTCCCGTTCGGAACGGCGCTGAAAAGGAGCGGCGCAGCGGGAATCCCCGGGCAGCGCCTGACTCGGCGCTCCTCCGAGGCACCCCTGCAGCACAGCCTCCACCGCCGGCGGGACCCCCGCTACCTGCAGCTCGCCCCGCCGCCCCCATCCCGCGTGGATGTGGGCGGCACCTTCCTCCCGCCTGCAGCTCCTCCGGCAGCCCCTCCTCCCCACCTGGGAAACAGGCTCCCTTCTCTTCCCGGCCGCTGCGCAGACACCCGGCTCTGCACGTAGCAAATGGTGGCGATTTCCTCCTTAGAGGCACCACATGGAAAGTATTGAGCCGTCTGTGGTTTGCTTTTGTGGTTTATTTTTTTCTCTCTCTTTTTTTCCTTCCTTCTCTCCTTTTCTTTTCTCTCTTCACCCCCCCCCCCACCCCTTCCCTTGCCTGACACGCTCTCTGTGTCCTATTGGATGCAGTGTTAGATCTCCCACACTTCTCTGATTGCTCATATACATCTGCTCCCAGTCACCCTGCACAGTGCTGAATGTCAGGAAATGACTGACTTGCACAGTGAGCACAGCTGGGCTGACCCCGCAGGGGCAGGGAGCAAGGGAGCAGGAGCAGTGGTAGGGGCATTGGGAAGTAGGGGGGAAGAAGGTTTTTGGAAGCCATGACATGGCCAAGATCTCCTGTGCTGCTGGTCTCCCAGAAGGAAGAGCTGTGAGGGTCCCCTGTGTCTCGCCACTCCAGTTTGCTTGGTGTCTTTGGGGTTAGTTTGCTAACAGAGGGGACACAGGGGTACTTATTCTTTCACTTTTCCAATGGATTATTATTTCCCAGTGACCAGGGAGAGTGAAACCACCAAGCAAACCCTGCAGAAGAGCCTTTTCCTCACCCTGCTCAGGACCTGGGGCCAGACACAAATACACTGTGTGTGTTGCTTGTGTGAGGTGCCCACCAGCCAGTGGGACTGGGATGGCCAAGGAAAACTTGTACTGACTGGGAGTGAGTCTTTTTAAATACCCAGTGCTTGGCATAGTCTGCCCTGACAAGGAAAGCAAAATGCCAGGGACCTAGAAAGGAGAGGTGCTATGGGCCATGAACTGAGGATGGCAACCAGCATCACTACTTGTACATAATGCATTATAAGGACTTCTGCCATCATTGTTGTCTTGGGATAGAGTCATAGTTCCCACAGACTACAATCCTATGATTCTAGTTCACCAGGGAAGGGAGAACTGCAGCCCAGTGATGCTGCCTGTCAGCCAAAGCAAGGGCAGGCAACAGAGGTCAGGACCTGTGCGGGACAGCACTAGTGGCTATTTGTGTGTGGGATGACTTTTCTCTTGGAAAGGTTGGAAGCTGGGCAGGTATAGAACATATATAGGCACCTCAGAACTAACAGTGCCAATAGTTAGTCATCACAAGGACATGGTCCAGGCTCCATGCTGGGGGTAAATGACTCATTGAAGTCTGTGGGACTAGAGTTTTGTTGCTCTTGGCACTCAAGCCAGCTGGATTTAATGCTACGTTGGGTACATCCTTCGTGACTGGTAGAGTGTCCTTTGCAGCATGCTGTGCCATTTGCAAGGACAGCACATATGCTCTCTGGGACAAACACCCTATTAGCCCAAGAGCCCTTCCTCTCCGTCCGTACCCTGTTGTGTGTTTGAGGGAGATGCCAATGGAGTCAAGAAATTTGCCATAAATTCTTACAGGGAATTTTTGCACTGGGCAGCTCACTGGCTTGTCTCAGTCGCTGCGCCTCGTCTCCACACCTAGTACTGCACACTGTCAGGGCTGCCCCTGTGAATGTTCTGAGTACACACACAGATGTCACTGGAGGGCAAGGGGCCCGTGGTGGGCAGGGTATTTTAGAACGTGTTCACAAGCTGAGTATCTAGGCTGCTATGTTCTGTTAAACAGCATGCTAAGGAGCTCCCCCATTTCTGTTGATCTGAGCTGGGCAGGTGGAGTGAATCCCTTCCTCTAGGCAATGCTGCTGATTCCTCTTGCAGGAACCCATAGTGTGTGAGAGCCGCAGCAGTGGTTCAGGAGAGGAGGTGGTGGCTCTTCTCTCCACCTGCCTGCTTGGTTTGTCCTCTGGACCATTTCCTTCCTCTAAGTAAGCATCCACCTGACTCAGCGTTTGAAACCCTTTCCTGCTGCTGCTCCTAGAGCTCACTGCACACTGCATACAGGAACTGCTGTGTCTGTGCAGACCTTGCACCATGACATCCCTTGGAGCACGTTCCCTGTCCTCCCACCAGCTGCTTACCCTGAGTTGGTTACAAACTTTCTCTCTTCCTTACATCTAAGCCTGGTCTTTTGTCTCCCAAGATTTTAACACTGTTCAAGTTCTCCTTAAGATCCAAGCCCTCTTCTGCAAGCTGCAGTCTCAGCATGGCTGGTGCTTGCACAAGTTTGCAGGCATGCAGAGCATGAGGGGTTTCAGAAGGCTGTGGGGCTCTTTAGACATTGGCGATGTACTACCTTCTCATTGTTTTGGTACCAAGCTAACCCCTTGGTGGGGTGCTGGGAGGGTGAACACAGGGTGCTGTCTGCTGAAGAAGCTCAAAAGTGGCTGCATCTTTCTTGCAAACCAGAAGGATTTTGCTCTTGGAGCATGTGGAGAATCTTTGGGCAGTGATAGGGGGTTTCCTTTGTTACCAGTTCCTCAGTAGCATCCCTGGATGGATCAGCCTGAAACGGGCTGATCCAAACAACACCAATAGACTCGACTCTTGGTGGCCGGTGGTGGAGGAGGTGACTGTGGGGTGACAAGAGATGCGGCCCATCAGGAGCCAGGGGAGGGCCCAGGAGATGGGGCTGCCTGGGGGAGGTACCCTGCAGAGGGGAGGTCTAGATTCCCCTACCCCTCACCATCTCCACTTTTTCAGGAGCTCAGGCCTGTTAGTTCAGGCAGCCAGCTCTACTGCGAGCTCAGGGATGTATTGAAGTGGGACTACAGGCTTTGGAAGGAGGAAGCT